TCTATATAATGAAATTTTTTACAATATATGCTTCCTATAAAGACATCCTGACAGCTATTAGTTATATTTTTAACATCTGATTCATGTTGCCACAGTCCCAAATTAGTTATTCTCTAATTTGCCCAAAAGAGACATGAAGCAATGCTTCCCTTTTGCTCTTTTCTGTACATTATAATGATATTTATAGTCTCATCGTTCTTCTCTCTTTTTCCAGTATTTCTTAAAGATGATGAGAGAATTTTTCAGGTAATTCTCTGAAGACCTCTAATGTAAACCATTGCTATGAAAATCTTTAGCTCCAGCTGGTGTTCTTTTTAGTATTTGGGAAATGTGTGAACAAGATCTACTGATACATTTTACAACCAATATGAATAGAAAAACAGGATCAACACATTTGATAAACAAACTAGGTGTTATTCTGCTCGGAGAATGTGAACTCGTTTGAACTAAGACCACTCAGATGGAGAACAGAGAATGACAGCACGGTTTGGGTTGGAAGGCATCTTGCAGCTCACCTAGTTCTAACCGCCCTGCAGTGAGCAGGGACACCTTCCATTAGACCAGGTTGTTCAAAACCCCATCCAACCTGGCCTTGAATGTTTCCAGGAATGGGGCCTCCACTACCTCCCTGGGCAACCCGTTCCAGTGCTTCACCACTCTCGTAAAAAATTTCTTCCTTACATCCAATCTACATCTACCTTCTTTTAGTTTAAAAGGGTTACCCTTGTCGAACCACAAGAAGCCTTGCTAAAAAGTCTCTTTCCATCTTTCTCATAAGCCTCCTTTAAGTGTTAAAAGTTTGTAATAAGGTCTCCCCGCAGCCTTCTCAGGGCTGAAAAGCCCAAGCTCTCTCAGCCTTTCCTCACAGGAGAGGTGCTCCAGCCTTCTGATCATTTTTGTGGCCCTGCTCTGGATCCGCTCCAACAGGTCCATGTCTTTCCTGTGCTGTGGACTCTAGAGCTGGACGCAGGACTCCAGGTGGGGTCTGATGAGAGCGGAGCACAAGGGCAGAATTCCCTCCCTCGACCTGCTGGCCACGCTGCTTTGGATGCAGCCCGGGATACTGTTGTCCTTCTGGGTTGTGAACATACTTTGTCAGCTCAGGTCCAGTTTTACATCCACCAGTATTCCTAAGTCCTTCTCTGTAGGACTGCTCTCAATCCATTCATCCCCCAGTCTGTATTGGTACTGGGGACTGCCACAACCCAGGTGCAGGACCTTGCACTTGGACCTTAATTCTATTGCACACCTGATTTCTAAAGCAGAAAAAACACCCATTTTCCACCACCCATCAAAAATAAATGTACAAGTAGCATTCGTAAGCATTAAATCCATATATATGACAGTCAATGAATATTTATTTGCTTCGTCTTTGGCCTTCCTCTATTTTTGTATTTATCTGATGGTGTTTTATACTGATTTTTCATTATAACCTTTATGCAAAAGCATTGAGTCTGACATTTTAGATGTTGATTCATTTATAATCTTCCAATTCTTCAGGTTCTAATTTCTCCACCATTTCTATCTGTCCTATCTCTACTAATATACTGGTACACATGATTGCAAATGAAGTCTTGTATACTTGGCAGTGCTTTTCACTCTCCTTGCTAACCCATGTATTAATCAGGTAGAAAGGAGATGTTTAAAGATTTCCAAGTTAATTATTATTAATATTCACGGTCTCTAGCATTTCCTTCACTTTCCCTAGCTTCACGTGCTTTCACAATCTTCCCAAAATTTACCTATTTCCAAACTCTGAAAACCTGATCTCAGCATCTTTCTCATGTTTTGGGTAGGAAAAAACTGCATCAAAGCATCATAGGCCTCAGCTGGCAGAGTAAAGATGCTCTTTCGGTCACAGGCAGAATTATTACCAGCTATCTGCCTGCATTAACGAAATCATGTAGCATTGGGATCACAGTGCCCGGCTCTGCCCTCTGCCTCATTCAGCATTTCCTTTGACCTTGGAGATGCGATTCGAAACCAAAACCTGACCTATGGTCCTGAGCAATATCAGGTATTGCCTGGAGTTTACTGACCTCTGAAAGTCCAGTGCCAAACCTAAATGAAAAATTCAGCCACCTGAAATTGAATTTAGACAGATTTAGGCACCAAAACTCTCCAGTTCAAAATAACTTTGCAAGAAAGCCACCTAACCCTAATAAACATAAGGTCACAAAATGCCTGTTTGGTTCTCATCCCAAATTTCCACAAGTGTTACGAAAACTTGAAACTGTCCTGGTCTGAGCAATGAGCCAGCCTGGTTTTGGACCAGTATCCTCCAGGCGATAAACTGAGTGCAGAAGCACACCGCTTCCCCACAAAGTCAAATTTTGCAAGTATACGCAACACTACCAAATGATGAAAGGGAGGGCCAAAAGTAAAGTGAGTCAGGAGTGGAAGCCTTCTTGCTGAAGCTGAACTACAGCAGAGAAAAGAAGGAAAATTCATGGGATCATAAAGGCAGTATACAAGGCTGCACCACAGAGAAGGTCTCAACTGAGACTTGTTCTCCGCTGGCAGCATGAATAAGCCTCTTGTGCTGCAGGGTGCAAAGGTACCCTTGTCTGTACTGCTGAGCTCTAAGTGATTCTCTCCTGGGTATGGTATTTTATTTTTTTAACTTGTTCTTTGGAAGTGCCCAGTTCTGAATAGAGGCATTTGGGTACTTAATTAGGATGCCGAGACCTTTACTGGATTCTCTGCTGCCGCTATTCTGACAGGCCACGAGCAAAAATACTACACTGTAAGAAAGAAAACTGGAAAACAGCATTTGTAGATATCTATAAACAATGTACCATCAGATGGAACAAACAAACTTACAAAAACAAATCTCACAGAAAGCTTTGCAAAAACATCAGTGAAGCTTTTCTCTTAGCAGTTCAGACGTGGAAGCAGCAATGCACCGAGTTCCTCCCACCTGTGCTAAAGGACACCGCTAACTGCTGGCTAGCAAAACTCTGCCGAATTAGACCTGCATCCCTCTCCCACTGAGGAGGTCCAGAGGCAGCAGCAGAACAGGAGCAGAGGTGACAGCAGAACGTACTCTATGATCCGCTATGATTCACCCCATCCTCTCTCCCTTGCAACTTTTTCTGGAGGAGGACTCCATCCAAGTGAAGATCTCAGTAGCAAAACCTGGAATAAAAAACCACTTCATGTACCTTGCTCCGCTTTTGGGAAAGCACGAGGTCTAACCCAAGGGCCTGGCTCAGTGCCCAGCTTTCCCTGGCAGCTCCCGGAGCCCAGGCGCTTCTGCTGAATCTGCAGCCCTCTGCGGCTTCCTGGAGTGCTGCTGTTTTTCAGGAGGGAGCAGAGCAAGAAAAAGCCTAAGAAGATATTTTGTTCTGTGGGTTTTCTGAGGCCCTTATGAATGGATAACGTTTTTCCTTTCCACAGCAAATACAGTTTTGTTCAGAGTAAAAAATTCATTATGAAATTTAGTTTTATAGGTAATATAGCAATACTGCTGGTTTGTAGAAGAAATCAAGAGGAGAGTAAGAGTGATATCACATGATCATGTCGAGTACATGTTCTTCCCAGTACTGATGATTAACTAGTCCACAGTAAAAATATTTTAATAAGCTGAAAAGCGACTTAATTCCTCAATATTTGTTAGATATATGTGGACTGTAAGGGAAAAAAATGTTTTCTTGAAAGTTAAGGATTGCTTTATGGTTTACAATAATGCTATATATCTCTGTTGAAAGAGGAGATCAAAGGGAATCACATCTCATTATTATTAATCCCAAGGCAGCCTGAAGACTTCACATATCGCGTCTTGTTTCTTAGGAAGGCAAAAGTTTGAGCTTGAAATGGAAAAAGATAAAGCAGGCTCCGAGAATCGAATTATCATCTTCAGCTCTCAAGCTGAGTTACTATGGCAATGGCAGTGCTGCTGCACAGCTTCTCTTTGTAAATCTACGTGGGAAATTTGCGCCATGCACGTGCCACGTACGGCTCACAGGAGAAGCCCACGGTCTCAGGTGCCCTGGTCTCTACTGAATGGAAGAGCAAATTTGTGTGATTAAAGTAAGTGATTTGCAATTTTCCTTTTTCCATGGAAACAGTCTTGGAGCAGTAGG